CCTCCAGGGAAGAAGAGGTGACACCACCTTTGTTGGCCGAGGCGTCTTTGAAAATTATGGCACCAGCTTGTTCCAATCGAATACGAGCTTCTTGCGTAAAGAACAGGTTTGCACCTTCGACAATGTATTTGAACCTCGGTTTGCCATGCAGGTCCAACAAGGTGTTAACATTGTTAAGGTCCACGGCCTCAGGTCTACCACCACAAGGAACGAAGAGGTCGGCGGAAACGAGGTTCGACACATGGAAATTATTACGGAACACCAGTCCATCATCGATAACCTGACCATCTTTTGCATCATTGAAAAGAAAGAAGAATATTACAACCCGAGATTCAATTAATCAATCAATAATCAAAATTGATACCCACTTGGCAATTTGACTCCCTGTTGATCTACCAAAACCCTGAAACCTTTGGTCGACAACTTGCCAACGTCAAAATGGGAGATCATTAAACGAGAATTGGCCAATCTCTTTAACTCCGTTCGATCAATACCGTCCGGATCGCACAAGACACCACTGCCATCGACGATAGCTGTTTTATATTTGAAGTTAAATAAATAATTAATTCGTTGAGGACCTCACCTCCACTCGCATTCGAATAACAATAAAAAACAACAGGCGTACCAACTGTATGATCCTTCGACAGCTTGATCTCATTACTGCCCAAATCACCGTCCGGTCCGCCGGTCTGAAACTTGGTAATCTTTTCTTCCTTGAGACCAAGTTTCCTGTAAATACCAATCACATATTGTCGCACAGATCGTGTGGTCATTCCATAAAGATCATGAGGTATGCCACCCATGGACTGACTCTTGCCGGTGGTAAAAGCTTTCCAGAAGGGTGCACCTCGGGCTCGGGCGTGCGCGCTGGCCCAATCGACAAAGTTGGCGGTTCCCTCGTCAGGACCAAAGAATAAGATCTCAGGTTTTCGGTACAAATCAACAATTTGCTAAATCATCGAGATCAAAGCAAGCACGTAAGCGAAGTCCGACCATTTACAGATTGATGATTTATTTACCAAACTAACCTCCTTGATTCCGGGTGTATGACCTGCAATCAGGAGGTCAAGTATGGAGTCGACGTATTTCTCAAAGGCCACACGATCTTTGTCTTGTTGGGTGATGTCCAGTAGAATGGTACCTTTGGAACCACCCTCAGGAATATCTTTGTTTTTTCGTTGTTGAGTAGCGGCCAAAGCATAATTTTCGTCGAACAAGGTTCTCAAGTTGATGCTGTAAGATTCCTTGTTTCTCGATCGAATTATGCGAATGCCGCCACGAGCCACATCGCGGAACCTTAGGTGAAATCCTCGAAACTCCGAGCCGATCACGAGAAACATGCCGAACAGTTTGGTGGGATATTCGATGGCGGGCAAGAAGGAGGGGTCAAGTCGGAAAGCCAATGCAACCTTGGTTGGCTGATAAAAGTTTGTCTTCAGGACATGCTTGTTGAAAATCAAGAAGGATTCAAACACCATGAGTTCGTGAAGGTTAGAGGTTGTCTTTTTGATCTTTTCCAAGAGCTCATCATCGCTGAGGACGACGTCAGTCTGTATACGTTGGTAAGACAATGTTGGCCTGCGTAAAAGGTGAATGAACGAACGATGATGATGATGATGATGATGATGATGATACAATCAGTTTGTCAGTTTTGTGAAGGGACATTTGTTGACGAAGTGACAACTTACTCGAGGGCGGCGGCACGCGGATTAATGTAGTGGGTGAGGCCAAAGTTGATGTAAAGCAAATGAATCAAATCGGGATATAGCGTGATAATGTCTAAAATGTATTCACGGGTGAATGCGTCCGAACGTAAACGCTTCTTGATCTTGTTTAAAACTTCCACGTGCACCGGATCGTTTGGATCCATCGCATTTGCAAGACTGGCATACTCGTTGCCCAGACGATTGAGGAAATGCTGGGCAAAGATCCAACCCACGTAACCATAGATCGCTTCTTGAACCGATAATTTTCCGGTCTTGAAAAAGGACTGTAGTGGGGTGGTGGGCAGACAGTAGATGAGGGAAGCTTCCTTGATGACCTGATGAATTGTGTGTTCGATGGGAGCAGATTTCGAATTGGGCAGTGGGTTGAGGTAGAGACTCATGACGGTGACACCGTTTGAAAATTGCTCTGAAAATGAAAAACTGTGCCATTAGGGTTTGGGATTCAGCGAATAACATTGATGGATGATGGAGCGTACCAACGTATTTTCGGGTAGAGTAAAGATCGTAAAAATGATAGAGGTCAGACATGGCGGAGAAGAAAGACTGGGTGCTGCGTTGTCTGTAACCAATGACGAGACGTCTTTCGCGACTACCTTCGACCTCGAACATTTCAATCACGGGACCGGTTCTCTTGAGAACGGTCTTCATGACATTTTGGTAAATTTCCAAGGTATTTTCGGTGGCCTTTTCCAAGAAGGTTTTGTCACCGACGAGACGAATGTCCGTTTCCTCCTCAGGAGACGGATCGAGTTTGACGAAATCACACTTGGTCACGAAATAACAACGAAGCTGAGTGTTCATGGATTCCGATACGGTTCCCAAGGAACGATAAGTTTCCAAACGATAAGCCTTGGCGGTAGAGCTGATGTCCAAATATTTGGTGTCGATTCTGCGAAATAAATAATAAATGGGAAAGAGTTGATTAGGATCGATGAGTTGTGGGAACCGACGAGAAGGGGTGTGTGTGTGTGCACCTTTTCTCATGCTGAGGACCTTGCAAATCGGAAACGCCGGGACGAGAGGTGTGCACGTATACAGCGGCGTCATCAGTTTCACGTTCGAGATTTATGTCCAAGGCGTTTTCATTCTTTGTATATGCAAAAATCTTTGCGCCATATAGTGACAATATATGATTGGCAATAGATTCTACGCTTTCTAAGCTAAAGTACATGTCATCGATGCCGAGATTCCTAATTCGACGGGGGGATCGGAGTTATGTGGTTGCATCGCATTTGGACAAATACGGATGAACGAAAAAAAAGGAGAGCGTTACAAAACAGTGTAGATATCACCGATACCGAATTGACAGATAGACTGCGAGTGTGGGAGCGAGCTTACCCGTAAAACCATTTGACCTCATTTTTTACGAGTTCCTTTGGGATGAAGCCTTTTTCTTCTAGGTACTCACACACCTTTAGCATTTGGTCGGCCTTGCCATCGAAGATGTTTTCGCTGTATCCGACCGAATTTCGTAGCATACTGTTGGGGGGCAAGAATAGACCTTGAACGCGGTAGGCCATTTTGATGTGTATATTATTATTAAAAAAAAAAAAAAAGAAAAGAAAAAAAAGTAGGGAGGATGGATGAAGAAAAAGGAAGAAAAATAGTTATTTGAAGTTCAAGTTTTCACTTGAAGCGATTGTAACAAAAAAAAAAAAAATCAAATAAGATTCTAAGTTGATCTAAATAATTGAGGCGATGGTGAACGTTTGTTTTTTTTTGGAACTTCCCTTATATTTATGTAGGTAATATAATGTATTGTGTAACTTTTTAACAGCAAGGGGTTAAACTTGCAAACTATTGTTGGGAAACCGTTTTATAACATATATAAATAAGTATATCGACGCAATTCACCGAGAACGGTAATTATGAATGAAAATCCCATTCTCTCGAGAAACCGCAATCGGTTGAAAATCCTTTGACGATGATTGATTTCTCACGAAGAACGACGACTGTTAAGGAATAGGCAGGGTAATCCAAAGAACTGGGATTGCAACGCATTGATTAAGAATTTCGCTCGCAAATAAAGGGACGAACTGCATGTGTGTGCGCTGATCGGTAAAATGCATATGGAATGAGATTATGAGTCAGGCTACACAGCTACATACACCGATAGGTGATTAGCGAGAATCGAATACTATTCAATGGGATTGTTTATTGCCAATTAAATAAATCCATGAGCGAAAGCCCGAGATACATACATGAAAAAAAAAAAGAAGCCAAGTCGGGACAACAAAAAATTAGCAAGGATTGTTGTTAATCACAAATATGTAACCAAAAAATTATGAACACAACCTATTGTTCCCTAATTATGTGAATATACTAACATTACATAAGGAACGAGACACTCGAGGAATGTCATGATGCCATCCTTCGTGAATGCTATACACGCGTAATAATAATATTTTTTTCGACGAATGATGAATGACGGTTGTAACATAACACGATTACTTAATCAGATCGGTTATTTATAATTACTCCGCGTACATACAATTAAATTTTTTTCTTTTTGTTATATGTTCATACATTTGGAATCACCGTCACGGCGCTTCATGGTTTTATGGTAATCCTAAAATGGGCAACGAAAACTGGGGAAATTCTTCATCAGTCGTCAATAAGGGGAAGAAACTGCGTACTAACTTATTTGCGTATCACAACTTTTACATGCATCCAGTATAGGGTTTCTGGGAAGTAAGATATGCCCACTAGTTTTCCTTTTTGGAGTGATGTAAAACGGTGAAACAACAATCGAGAAGAGAGAATTAAATCCACGTACACCCTCCCCTATCACACGCACACACAGCATCGCACTAGTAAATGCGTGAGAACTTGCATTTTTTTTAAATCTCGCATATAAACTTTACCAAATTGGTTAGTCATTCCATAAGCTCGGAAATTGACCCATTTTTTTTTTTTTTTTTTTTTTTTTTTTTTTTAAAAAAAATTTCGAGGAGAAAAAAAACGCGTATAAGAAACGACTCACAAGATCCTAATGTGAAATTTACAATCCAAATTTGGTTATGTAATTTCCTTGGCCGATAATCACGAGGCACATATATGGGAACGGCCATAATCCGTACATCTACTATAGAGTTCAAACTTTCACTTGACTTCAGTGCAGGGTCTACTATGGTAATAATATGCAAAGTTGTGCTCAATTATCCATGCCTCTTTAGAGTTATTGAGAGTCAGAGAGACTTGATACTATTCTCGCACCCTCGCACGGCACTTGTGTGTACATTGTTTTCAAGTATATTGTCATCGTCACGTGAAACACACGGCTTCACATCATCGATTCTCAAATGCTGTATGAACGCCGCACAAGCGTCGCACGGGGAACCCTTTGAAAACAACAACCAAATATCTGCCAGGTGATTGAACCTTTGAACTTTGTAAATCGGAGGTTTCTACGTGCATTAACTTTTTTTGTCTCCCTGTATCCACCATGCAGAACCATTGTCATTAAAAAAACAAAACAATCTTAAACACTTTATTAATTTCAGATGTTTTCTAAAATAGCGGATGAATGAAATTACATATGACTTATTGGCCATCACTTTACCACACATGACGCAATTATCATGTTAGATTCACCATTAATTCCATTTTGAATACCAGCGGTTTTGTTATTATAAAATTCCGTACATTGAATATGTTGAGAATACGCGCTGCACGTCTTATCTCACGGAATGTTTCCTTCGCCCCAGGTTTATTTGAAGCGTTGCATTTACATCATTTACATCAATACCCTTTTGATAACAAAATATCATATAGATTAAAGCAAAACTCATCAGCGTTGATAATCAATTACGTTGCGTAACCCGATTCCAAATCAATCTCGAAATAAGGGCAATTCGAGGCGTTACCCGTTTTGGAACATAAAGTCAACTTAAATAAAAGTGGATCTACTTACACCCGGTTCGAATCATGAGACTACGATCCTTGTATTGGATTAACGTCATTCTACAGCTGTCGTGTAACTGCATGCTAACAAGAAAAATTAATTTAATCTATTATTATGCTACAATACTGTTGATTATACAGTATCAATTTTATTTGTCTATTTTCATATTTAATTTATTTTTTTTTTTTAAGCTATAATTACATATATTACATAATAGATTCTTATTGAAACATTAAATAAATAAATACTGTAAATAAAAAACTTATTTTCTAACTATAGTATATACAAAAAAAGATATTTATTAAAAGTTTTTAAACTTTTCGATCAATAAAATCATTTATTGCTATTCTTAAAATACTTTAACTTAAAGAATTTTTTCAAGAATCATTATTCCATACTATTACACTTTACTTCTTGTTTGCAAATCTCTTTGATCAAAAACTTAATTATTATCAATAGCAAAAAGTATTTAAAAAAAAAAGAGAATTAATTATAAAGTATTCAAAAAAGATCTTTTTTTATTTTGAAGTGAATTTTATAAAGATTTGTTATAATAAAAAAACTTATTTTTTCTTTTATTAACTATTATTATTTTTTTAAAATTTTTACTATTACAATTTTTTAGAGAATTTATTTATCTAGATTAGATTCTGAATTTTTTAATAATACAATATTTACCAATATTAATTAATCAATATAAAATATATTAGTTTTTAAAATATAATCAAGTTTCTATTGATTATAATCATATATTTCAATAATATTATTGATAATAAGAAAGAAATATTTATAAAGATAAATA